CTACGGACCTGAGTGCTGGAAGTGGCAAAGTTTTTGTTTTTTTTTTATTAGGAGCGGTATTTTGACTACGTCCCTGAGTGCTGGGAGTGACAGTTTTTTGTTTTTTTTAGGAGGGGGGGGTATTTTGACTACGGACCTGAGTGCTGGAAGTGGCAAAGTTTTTGTTTTTTTTATTAGGAGCGGTATTTTGACTACGTTCCTGAATGCTGGGAGTGACAGTTTTTTGTTTTTTTTAGGGGGGGGTATTTTGACTACGGACCTGAGTGCTGGAAGTGGAAGTTTTTTTTTTGGAGGGGGTATTTTTAATACGACCTTGTGGTGTATGTATGAAAGACATAAATAAATCTACTTCTTTTAACCTAAGCCTTTTCGAGTAGTCACCATCTGCAACCAAACATGCCTTGAATGCTATTGCTTACTGAAATGGCAATTGGGCCAATAAAACCATTAACACACGAAACTTGGAATATTTTGGCGATTATCGTTAGAATACAAATATGTTTCAAATCATACTTACATACACATTGAGAATCAAACTTACTTACACATTGAGAGTCATACTTACTTATACATTGAGAATCAATCTTACTTACACATTGAGAGTCATACTTACTTATACATTGAGAATCAAACTTACTTACACATTGAGAGTCATACTTACTTATACATTGAGAGTCATACTTACTTACACATTGAGAGTCATACTTACTTACACATTGAGTCATACTTACTTACACCTTGAGAGTCATACTTAAATACACATTGAGAGTCATACTTACTTACACATTGAGGATCAAACTTACTTACACATTGAGAGTCATACTTACTTATACATTGAGAGTCAATTTTTATACGACTTGCATTGAGACTCTAAATGAAACATAGAATTAATTTCTTTTGCAATTTGAATGGAAATATTATTTTAATCCTGTCAGATAGGACAGGCTTCTCGACCTCTCACGTGAGTTTCGAGGATTCTCTATGTTCACAAAGCCTGAAGGTTAGATCACTTAAGAGAATCAATTAGTCTTATCAATATTTTGTGAGAACGAAAAAATGTGACGGTAGAATGTGGGACAAAAAGTAAATGAGCAGGTGTGCATGAAATATATATATAAAAGTCTACTACTTCTTAAAAAAGATAGAAAATTTTGGACTAAAGGAGTTTCAGGAGATCCAGATAAAATAACAAAGTAAGTATCTATCTGTTTAATTTCTGTAGGGCATATTAGTGAATAGAAGACATATTAATACTAAAAGCAAACGACTTGATGACATTTGAAGCTTTGTACTGTCAGTTTCGATTTGTGTTTTAGTGAACGCTCCTGAAGAAGCGGCCCGGGATGGCCAGGTGGTTAGGGCGCTAGACTCGCAATCTAAGGGTCGCGGGTTCGAATCCCCAAATATGCTCGACCTTTCAGCCGTGGGGGCGTTATAATGTGACGGTCAATCCCACTATTCGTTTCGCTTTATAGCTTCTTTTGAATGCCGCGCAAAGCTACACGAGGGCTATCTGCGCTAGCCGCAGTGGTGGGATTCAGCCGGTTCGCACCGGTTCGTGCGAACCTGTTCTTAGAATTTAATGACCTCCACGAACCGGTCGTTAACAATCGTATGTATAGGCCTAATAATAACGTTACAACTTACAAGTACGCGTGTTTACAACGCAACTTTACTAGCAGGCTAGGCGGACTAGGTCTACTAGATCTCTGATGAACCATTTGCCAGCAGGTAAGTGTAAGAATCTGTATAAAAGATGATATAACTAAGTTAGATCTAATAATAATAATTTAGATAAGATCATTACTATAGGCCAAGCGTCCTAGGTCTACGTGTGAGTGCAAATCTATGCTGAATTATTAGCCAGCGGGTGAACGCTTTTTCTACAGATTCTTATCTAAATAATTACGTTAATCTATTATTATTATACCTAAGGTTAGATCATCTATATACATAGCTCTAGGCCCCTAGATCTATATAATTAATATACCTTATACAGCTATGAAAATTGAAATGTTATGCTAATAATTGACAAACACAAAATTGCATTAGAAAATATTTTTCCCCAATAATTTATAAAATTTGTTAGATGATAGATCTATCATCTATGCATTAGATTAATACATTTTTAAATTTTTAAGAAATATAAATTTGTGTGTTTTCGCTCCAAATATAACAGGACCCCTTTCTCTAATAATTCATATCTTTGTTTTTCACCTGTTACTATCCATTTTATTTATTTTTTGTTTTTTTCTACTTTACTTTTTTGAAATATATTTTTTAACCTATTACGTATGGAAGAAATTAATAAAGATTTGAATTTTGTTAAGTTGAAAGATTATTCCAATCCAATCTACAAGTTTGATTTCTTAATTTTTAATACTGTTATAAGCTATGTTTTTAATATTGTAATTTAAATGTTAATTTAGAGGATACATCATATTAAAATCAAGTTAGTCCTAGAATATTAATGAATTAGAGGATTTGCAAAATATCTAGAACAAGGATAGATAATTGTCTAAGTAAGCTTGCAATGAAACTGAGTTATCAAAAGATAGCAAGTAATTTTACAGCTGGTAGAGTTAATGAGTTAGTACATGCTTATATTTTTGGGTCTGTGTTAGTTATTGAGCTTATTGAGTTATTGTGTTTTCAAATGCCCTCAAGTAAAAGAGTTTTCCCCATCTTAGGTATTGTAAATACTCAGTCTTAACACATCTTTAAACAAAACTGTAAAAAACGTCAAGGAGGAAATAAAACAAATTTGTTATTGTTACATGGACTGGTTATTGAGTTATTTTTAACAGATAAATCAAAAACCTGCTAATGAAAGAGCAAGGTTACAAGGTCCTGAGTTTGGAGGTTATTTATAAAGTAATTTTCTAATTTTGTTTGCTTTACTTTGAGTTCATTCATAACTGAAGCAATTGGATATTTTTGAGGAAATTTTACAATTGCTTCAGGATGTTATTAATTGAAAAGAGCTTAAGAATGAAGGTAAAACAATTCTTCAAGTATAAGTGGACACAGACATGTAAAAAAAGATGTGACAAGGAGATGCCTGTGTTGTGAAATAAGACTAAGAACTAGGAAGCTGGGTTAACAAGGTCAGGGGCATAGTTACGTAAAAACATTGCTTAGAAACGAAATAAGTGCATGAGCACCCATGACATGTTGATGAATTACTGACGATAACCCATTAGCACTAGAAAAGCTACAAAAAAAGTTGTAGTTAACAAGCAAAAGCTGTACTTTGAGGTAATATTGTTTACAAGACATGGGTGTAGCAGTACAAGTAAATAGGCGACCAGCTAACTCAACATAACAGTAACCAATTACTTGGGAGTTTGGGTTATGATTTTGGATTAGCCAGGGAATCCCCCTAAAGCAACCAATAGAGTGGCAGGACTACTTGCGGGTAATGCTGGATACTATTTGGATAGTCGAGAGAATATCAAGAAATTATGGTTTATAAACCCATGTCTGGGGCTGAAAAATCAGTTCCGCTGGCAGTTCAGAAGTTCTCTAGAGTGGTGTTGTACCTGCAGTGAAGTTCAGAAGCATCAACAAATTTAACAACCCAACTCTATTGTAAGTATGGTTTATGGTTTCTCTCTTCATCGGTTAGTGTAAGTAATTTTAAAGGAATATTGTTAAACTAAGAAGAAGTGTATCTATGTGTACTCTTGGGAAGCCACCTATATAATGGAGTTCAAAGTGTATAACGATTAACAGTGTTTAAGAAGTGTTTAATGTTTAACGAAGTTTTGATTTATATTGGATGTTAGTTAGAAATGATTAATAAATGTTGTTATAATTGTTCAATGCTGGTCTGGGACTCTGTTCCTTTATTCTAACTGTAAATTACCTCGAGTTAGTGACTTGCGGCTCCACTCATCACGACATATCTTCCAAATAAATAAATTTGGTGTAAGGAGCAGTTTAAATTGAAACCCCAACAATTAAGCCCACAAGAGTGCTACTCGTTACATAACCAATCACAAATGCAGAGAAAAAACAAAACATGTAAAATGAGTAGATGTTTTTCTTTTCTTATTGTTATCAAGTAATAACTCTGGATGTTAAGGGTTAGCATAAAACCTTTATACAAGTAGCAAAATATTTTTTTTTCCTTTAGTAACACTTTTAAAAAAGCTGACAAAGTTTTTCAATATTCTCTATTTTCTAACAAACATATATATATATATATATATGAGAAAAATGTCCTTGCTAACCTCTCATAATTAATACATTTGAGAATTACATTCAATAAACAAGCGACAATCTAGCGTTACTGGAAACCAGAAACACATTTGGCTACAATGCTTATTATTAAACTTTGTGGACTATGAAATAAAACTCAGTTAAACAAAATTTAGGTAATTACATTTTAAAATTGCATCTCAACATCTGAAAAACTTCAAGTTAAGTTATTTTATATAACCATAGTTACATTACAAAAGACTTAGTAACTGTAAGCCAAAAAACATTCTTCCTAAGTACTTCTTGTTAAACTATGATTACATTCCAAAATGGTTACTCAAAACCTGAAATTATTTTATCCAAATGCCCATTCTTAATCCATGGTCACCATCACTGTAGATGTATAAAAGTCAAATATCAGGCTTGTGGAGATGGAGTTTTGGATGAAGGAGAGGAATGTGATTGTGGATTAAAAGAGGTAATTAGAATAAACTTTTTAGCATCTTGACTTACTGAGTATTTTGAAACTTAATCCCCAATTAAAGTTAAAGACAAAGTTTGTAGAACTAAAGATATATTTAGGAAGAGTGTTTTTGAGTTTTCAGTAACCAAGTATATTAGAATGTGGCTAAAAAAAAGATATTTAGTAAGAATGCTTTAGAGTTGTGAGTAACTAAGTATTTTGGAATGCAAATATGGATTAAAAAAGGCATTTGGAGAGAATACTTTTGGATCTTGAGTAAAAATGTTTCTATGGGTTGAAAAGTGACATTTAGAATTTTTCTTTTTTGAAGCTACTGAATATTTTGGAATAATGATTGCGTAAAGGAACATTCCACAAACACATATCTACTTTTCGTTGGTAGGTTTGGAAAAGATCATCTTTGGAGCAGGAAGACCAGTATCTGGGTACAGCTGTAATACTGTGAAGACAGATTAGTTAAATTGATGCTGAAGATTTCCTAAAAAATGTTAATACATGAGAAATGAATAACTCTGTAGGCATACATACTTTCTCTTAAACTTTACCCTGGAATTATCATTTATTTTAATGTACTTTATGGTAAGTAATACTATATAACAAATAAATGAGATATATATAACTTTATGGTCAGTCAACATGCATATGGGTGGACAAAACAAGCTGAACTTTAAGACAAATCATAAAAAAATTTAAAACATCTACTTTATAAGGCAAGTCAATATACAGAGTTTATGTTATATCAGACTTTATAGTTAGTTAACATTTTAGTTAAATAAGGTATATAAAAATTTGTTTCACATCAACATATTGGTTAGATGAGGCATAGTATATTTTACAGTAAGTCAAAACACCTAGATAAAGTAATAATATATGTTTTGATGATGAACTTTGTTACATCTTATAGTTGTTCAACATATTGGGTTGATGAGGTATATTGGATAGAAAAAGTACATTAAACTTTGTGTTAAGTAAAGAAGTTGAGTATACTTGGTACATTAAACTTTGTGGTGAGTCATCAAATTGAGTAGACTGGATACAATAAACTTTGTGGTGAGTCATCAAATTGAGTAGATTGGGTACAATAAACTTTGTGATAAGTCATCAAATTGAGTAGACTGGGTACATTAAACTTTGTGGTAAGTCATCAAATGGAGTAAACTGGGTACATTAAACTTTGTGATAAGTCATCAAATGGAGTAGACTGGGTACATTAAACTTTCTGGTAAGTTAACAAATTGAGTAAACTGGGTACATTAAACTTTGTGGTAAGTTAACAAATTGAGTAGACTGGGTACATTAAACTTTGTGATAAGTCAACAAATTGAGTAGACTGGGTACATTAAACTTTGTGGTAAGTCATCAAATGGAGTAAACTGGGTACATTAAACTTTGTGATAAGTCATCAAATTGAGTAGACTGGGTACATTAAACTTTGTGGTAAGTTAACAAATTGAGTAAACTGGGTACATTAAACTTTGTGATAAGTCAACAAATTGAGTAGACAGGGTACATTAAACTTTGTGGTAAGTTATCAAATTGATTAGACTGGATACATTAAACTTTGTGGTCTTACCACAAAGTTTAATGTACCCAGTCTACTCAATTTGATGACTTACCACAAAGTTTAATGTACCCAGTCTACTCCATTTGATGACTTATCTCTGGAATTATTTTAGTAGTCTTCCTCTGAATCTCTTGCAATAAGGTACTATTTTTTCTTTCTTAAAGGTGATTTGACAAACTTCTTATGTGGATGTAAGATGCAAGTCAGTCTTTATTACTCTAATATCTTCTATACAGCTAGAAATACACGAGTGTAATATCATCTGCAGATTTGATTCACCACAAAGTTTAATGTACCCAGTCTACTCAATTTGATGACTTACCACAAAGTTTAATGTACCCAGTCTACTCAATTTGATGACTTACCACAAAGTTTAATGTACCCAGTCTACTCCATTTGATGAGGAATGGTTGTCTTATATAGGGATAGTACAAGACCTCTTATCTTACTTTCTCTCGAAAAGAGAAGATTAATGGGCAATCTTATTTAAGTTTAGATTATCCAGAGATGGATATGATAAAGGCCCTTGACTTTTTTGTGCTGTAACCTAACGAAAATTGAACAAGAGGACACAAGTTTAAAGTCTGGAAAAGACAGGTTAGCTCTATTTAAGACAGTTTTATTCTTATAAAAGGGTGGTTGGCTAATGGAATGAGTTAATATTGGAAATAAAGGAAGTCAGCATGTAACAGGAGCTTAAGAGGAGAATGAATTCTTGTGAAATAAAGGATGAGTTTTAATCATTTCTACTTTTCTTTTTCACGAGGGTAGTCTTGAAGGTCAAAATGATCCCCTTGTTGTTCTTATGTTATTACAAGAAACAGGCAAATGCAAAGCCTTATATTATTGTCACAGTGAAAAAACTGAGAACTAAATTTGTTTATTATTCCAATATTTGACATTCTTTTAATTACTCATCTATTGTTGACATATATGTATATATATTTACAAGTCCTGCAAAACCCTTCCCTTAATAATGATAGCCAGTGATATGAAAAATGATATTCAAGCATTTAAGTTACAATGATTTAGTTTGTAACAAGAGTCGTGGAATGGGATCCGAAGTACTTCAACTTCCGGTTCCTATTGTTCGGGGAAAATTATTCTGGTAATAGTTTGCTAGTATGTAACAACTTTGAGGTATGCAAACAATGAGCTATTTAGTTTACTTACCCTGTCATACTCGACATGACACACTGATATTCAGGACACTCACATTCTACTCTATCATGCTGCATTCCAAAATTATGTCCTAACTCATGAGCCATGATTGACCCTACTAAGCCGACCAGATCATTGTGGTCCTGAGAAAACAAAGAAAAAATAACTTTGTTGCTGAATGAAATTTATTATTTTCAAAACTTCGAGAGAGAGATAAAATGAAATGCCGATGTTAACTCAGGTTAAATGTATACACTATGGAGATAAAATACAGAATAACCGTAGAGTGATAAGATAATAACCAATTAGAGAAAAGAAGATCGTTCAATAACACAGGATTTAATTGTTGTCACCAACCAACGAGAGAAAAGATCGTTCAATAACACACTATTTAATTGTTGTCACCAGTTAACGAAAGAAAAGAAGATCGTTCAATAACACAGGATTTAATTGTTGTCACCAGCCAGTGAGAGAAAAGAAGATCATTCAATAACACAGGATTCAACTGTTGTCACCAGCCAGTGAGAGAAAAGAAGATCATTCAATAACACAGGATTTAACTGTTGTCAGCAACCAACGAGAGAAAAGATCGTTCAATAACACACTATTTAATTGTTGTCACCAGTCAACGAGAGAAAAGAAGATCGTTCAATAACACAGGATTTAATTGTTGTCACCAGCCAACGAGAGAAAAGAAGATCGTTCAATAACACATCATTTAATTGTTATCACCAACCAACAAGAGAAAAGAACAACAATTAAATCCTGTGTTATTGAACGACCTAACATATTGCATTAATGAATTCCGAAAATCAGTGAATAAATAATCAGACATTTGTTGTTATGGTGTTACTAGAAGGAGCAAGAAACAAATACCAAATAATGTTATTCTGTGTGTAAATATTATTAACATTCCTTTAAAATACTGGGATTGTACTAACTATAACTTTATTTTAATAGTTTTCTTAGATTTGTAGAAAAACCCGATCTATATATTTCCTTACAAAAACTCATTAACGAAGTTAACTACCTGTGATTGATAAATAATTACGTTTATAAAAGTCATGGCACTCAACATTATATACACCAAAGACATAATTAACCAAGTTTTCAAATGCCTGAAACAGACAGCATATAAAGCTTGCAAAACAGGTTATAATAATTGAAATAAGTAATTCATCAGGTGTTAAATACCTTTCTCTTAACACTGCATTTTTCATCATATCGTAAAGTATATGTAGATCACGCTGTTCTTGGTGCTACTATAAAACACATCGAGTTTATAAATATAGACATGTGTATTGAGAAGGCAGTGTCAGAAAGACGCAGTAAAAATATACTTAGCTCCAGCTGAGACATTTATTTGGATGATTACAGTCTATTCAGAGCGTTTTATAGCTGCTCTAGGTAAATGGGTCCGTCCCGGGTTTTTTAGGTGTTAGTAGTTATGGGAAACAATACTGAATTTTGATCTATTAAGTGTTAACATGAAGTGTTTCAGTACTACCACATGATAATTAATGGTAAAACAATTACCCTTGAATCGTTCTTTCCTCCTAACTAGTGTGATTTTAATCCGAAAGTACACATGTATACTGGTGAACGGAATGTGCAGCTGGGTTAAAGTAAAGACATCGGACCAAGAAAAACATGTTTTACACATTCTTTGCTAATAAAAATGCCCATGTTGTCAGTATAAGATGTAAAAATATATTTAACTTGTATACGGGTATTTCTTTGATCTATTAGAGTCTGTTCCGAGAGTTTTATAACCGTTCTATGTTTTCGGAAATTGAACTAGTTATATCTATCGTTTTATTGTCTGTTGTGTGACATTAAAACTCTTCGTAAACACATTTTTTTATCACTTAAGAGTTTGCTTAAATGTCATGGGAATAGGTAGTATTAGCGCTATAGGGGTGCAAAAAACACATTGCACCAGGGCACCCATAAAACTTTCAATATCCGAGTTTTTAATAAATTATATAATTTATTTTTTATGAATTTCTTACTTATTTTTTTAAATACATTGTCCTTTTTATATATTGCATATAAACCTGAACTAAGATATATGGAGACCCATTATAATACCCTGCATCAGGGCCACAGAAAAACTGGCGTCTAGCCTGGAGTTAGGATAGTTAATAAACTATGAGCGAATGTCAAGAAGAATGTATAACAGTATGTCGACAACACTATTTTTACCATATCCAGTGCTAACCATAATGATGCGTTCCGGTTGTGATTCCGGGTTTTAGTATTCTCTCTCTAGATGTCACTGTTCAACAAAAGAGTACACAAATCCTATAATTTCACGTAGACTCTAACATACTTATTATGTAATATGTAATGGATTTCAACCTTTATGCCACATCAAAAAAGGTTTTTTTGTTACTGACTGAAATGTACAGTCCTAGAAATTGGGCAACTGTAAACTTCAAGCATTAAATAAAGGTTTGAAAATGTTACAAGTTACTGATTGACGGAAAATACCTCTAAGCTATTTTACGTTATCCTGATGACGTAAAATATTTAAGCGTTTTCTACCCTTATTTTCATGAAGTTTTATCGACACTTTATAAAAGTCGAAAACTACTATTATTGAGTATTAGGAAATATAAGCCATCATTTAGGTCTACAGACTTTCTTCTTAAAACTAAGCCTTTTCATACAATCACTTGTAATCATACTCGCTAATAATACGGCCTTCACACAAATATAATATCTCCAATAAACAATCTGTCCAGATGTGTTTCTTCTCTCAATTCATATTATGGTTAATAATGTTTGGAGACGGCTTGAACGGGTAATGAAGTTTAATATAAGTTTAACATAACAACAAACAACAATTTGATATTTTGGTTGTTATGGTAACGTAGCTGAAACAAACTTATCACTTTGCGCGGTAGTGCTTAGTATGTAGGGATGGGCCGGGACACGAAATCCTGGTCCTTGTTAGTATGTAGGGATGGGCCGGGACAAGGATAATGCGGCTTTAAATTTGTAATAATAATAGTAACACTCACCAGAATTTCTTGTCCCGGCCCATCCCTACATACTAACAAGAACTATGATTTCAGTAATATTTTCTGCATTAACAAGATTAATCTAGAGATGCAAAAGAAAAGTTAAGAATTTTACAGTATTTATCATGTCTTCAAAGTGTATAATTAGCGTGAGGTACATAATAAATGTTTTAATTAAATAAGTGGTTTTCCTACTTACCATTACTACACCCGCTGAATGTTGATAAGTACAAATAGTTCCAACGGCCCCTTTTCCAACTGCCTGATCTTCAAACTCTATACCTCTGAGATAGAGAAACATTTAAGTGTTATTTTTCGTCACCAGGTGTTATTGTTGTAACATATTTCATGGTATCTTTTTATGTAATAAAAACTAATTATGCATGTAAACAAAATTGGAGGTCTCTATATATGTAGTAATCAGAGGTATTAGACTCGAGCATATTAAGTGCGATTCTCTTTACCACATAGTTTGAAGCTTGTTAACATGAAAGAGAAAACTTGAAGAATCAAACGAATAAGGATAACAGAAGTCTTAGACGCTCACTGCGGAGCCTTAAGTAAGATTACATAGGGTCTGTGTGTGTGTGTGTGTGTGTATGTGTGTGGAGGGGGCTAATAGTATTCGGCATTGAAAAAACGCGATGGATATTACACAACGGAATGTTGTAGTGTGTTCTTTAACGGGTCAACCATGAGATCTTTGGATTTTCAACTTCATCTTTAAGTATAATTCATAGAAAAAAATATCTATGCAGGTCCCCATAGTGCAGGGCCCCGGGCAGCTACTGTGCTTGCAGTACTGTAGGTGGAATTGCTCGTTGTCAGCCTTGTTACTATTATTATTTTTTGTACTGTTCGAAAGAATCGAACAAACAACTTACGTGATTAGTTGAGCATTATCATTGGGTTGTATTCTGATCAGCCTTTCCCGCCGGTATTTGGAGAAGTTCTCGAGCGTTTTCCCAGAATCACTGGAGACTTGAATTTCGTCACGTTCCGACCAGATAACAACCCCCACTAAACATATGACGATGTTCAATGGGGAATAAATCTATTCAAGAAAAACCGAGTGTTTTAATACATTTTATGTAAGCATAATTTTTATAAATGGAGATTTAGGTTTCCTCAATCCCCCCCCCTTCCAAAAAAAAACAAAAACAAATCTTGAACAAATATCAAATATAAATTTAATAACATTTTAAATACAGGGGTATTTTAAATAAATATTTCCTAAGCCTTTATACATGTTAAGTCACCTTGTGGTTTTTCAGAATGGTCAATTAGTCTACAAATATTACATTACCTAAATGTTCTGAAACTTGAAAATAAGTTATATAATGGGAAAAAATAACAAAGTGAGCGATTTTAATCATTTCTTAAGTGAATTTAATACATATAATATCTTAGTGGCCAAAATGTGCATTATTCTGATCGAATATTACATAGATCTTAATGTACCAAAAACAAGATATACACATTTGTATTTAACAGTACGTTCAGACTAATAAATAATATTTAAGATCTAATATACACTTTGTTAGATGAAAGGTTGAGGGTTGTATTGCTCAGGGTTAGGCAGGTAAAAAGTAACCTAACTTTAAAAATAGTTAAACTCAAACACCCATATAATGATTCATTATACATTTTGTTTCTGTGTAACGTAATTATTCATGCAAGACATATAATTATCATCAGTAAATTATGCATTTTAGTTTTTAACAGCTTGTTTTACAGACAGCGGTCTTAGCCAAAAATTGGCTTTGAGCCCATAACAAGTAAACTAGTGTGTTGTTGTTGTTTTTTTCTGGCAAACAACTACAACATTTACAGTGTCTAGTTACAGCTCTATAATAGAAAACCAGATTAAAATTAGGGTTAACGCAAAACTTATATCGCACAAAACTTCGTTTTGCTATTAATACAGCCAATTATAACATGCTGAGGAAATATTCATAATTATCTCTTTGGAAGTTATAGAGAACTACAATAGTGACCCAAGGCAACAACAACAACTCAAAATCCTGCTTAAAGTTCTATTTATCAATATAATTTGTATAGTTATCATTTAAATATAAATAATACATTTACGTGACTAATGTAGTAAACTCATTCATGCAACAACAGCCCCCCCCCCCGGTGTCTCAGCGGTAAGTCTGAGGGCTTATAACGTAAAAAATTGGGTTCCGATACCCACGGCGGGCAGAGCACAGATAGCCTAGTGTGCTTAACAACAAATTAAGCAACACTAAATTAATAGAAAAGTTAAAATTAAACCATATATCACTGATATCGGAGTGAGAATGCACGTTGCTCTAGTAAAATCACTTTCTGATTTGTTCTGCTTTAAATATCGAAAACAATTCACATTCAGGGAGGATTTATACATTTAAAGTTTGTTTCTTTTTATACTTACCCCACTTAGGATGTTCGCCACCTGTCTGGTGCGCTCGTATACAGCTTCTTTGTTACTCCCCCATTTTCTAAACTTAAAAAGATATATATATATATATTATTTCTCCAAAAATGAAGCTGATGTTACATAACACGTGTGATAAACACCAATGAACCACAAAATATCTACCGACGTGGGGGATTATTTATCTGACTACTTACCTCCCCCCGTAAAGTTTGCGGACTTTTAACGCTAAAAACCGTGTTTCGATATCCGTGGTGGGCACAGCACAGATAGCCCATTGTGTAACTTTGTGTTTAACTACAAACAAACAATCCACTTACCTAGCAGCAGCCGAACATATCATGATAATACTATAATGTAATATTAGCATCTCTGCACAAAAAATAATTTAAACAGCACTCTATAATACACAACGTTTACTAATTACTGATTCCATCAAGTACTTGTCTGTTTTACCGTCATAGAATATACAGTGTGTCCAGCTTAATTAAAATCACGCTCTTATCAGCAAAACACGAAATTCCTTCATTGATAAATGTTCACCGTAGTGTAAAAATATCTTTCTGTTAAGATTGCTTTGTTTTAATTTAATTTCTGAATATCACAGTGATATATATTCTCACTAAGTAATTGAGATTTCTTGCACATTTTTAATAATAGTGTGTTACATTTTATAATTAAAGTTCCCTGGTGGCTCAGCATTAATAATTCATGGTTTGATCCCCGTGGCGCAGACAGAGCACAGATATCCCATTCTGCAGCTTTACACTCTAGAGTTTGGTTTGGTTGTTGTTGAGTGCAGACAAAGTTATAACCTCCCAGTGACTCAGCGGTAAGTCTGCAGGCTTACGACGCTATAAACCGGGTTTCGATACCCGTGGTGGGCAAATCACGGATAGCCCATTGTTTGTCTTTCTCCGACCCCGTGGAGACGTCACTGCAGGGCCAATGCAGAAATACATACATAACTATTGTGATTTAAAATACGGTCTTCAGTACTAGCATATCTTATACGTTGTTGTTGTACTAAATTTTAAGCATTAGTTTTATTTTTAGTATCACGTTCTGATCTACTAGTTACAAAGAGATTTTTTTTTTACAAGCATCTTATTTTTTTCCAGAGTCGTCGAGAAACTCAACGAGACCAACTTAACATTTTCAACGAAAGGAAGCGTTACGTTGAGTTAGTAATTGTGAATGATAATGCACAGGTAAGGACCAGTTTTGAATAATGCTAGGTGATAGTTTAACTCCTGTTTTCGTCAATGTTTGGTTCTAAACTTAATTTGTTTACAATTGTAAACGTTTTACCCAAATCGTGCTTAAGATACTCTTCTAGAAAACTAAATTACATAATGGGTTTTCTGTGCCCCAATCCTCTTTTGAAACTCTTCTACAATTTCAAAACGTACGTTTACTTAAACGAACAATCTAAATTGGGGCTGCAATGAAGGAGTTGACAGGTATATAGTCATAATGAATAGTCTATGATTTTAGTTTTGTCTGCCATTGTTCTCACGGAAACAGACACTGGGTGTGGCTAGAAACTTGTGTGTTGTTAGTTTGTGAACCTTCGTCAATTTTAAAACCTTGTTCACGATCTTTTTAATAATATCGGGGGATATGTCAAGGTTTATTGCAAGAACATTTTGAGGTCAACGAGTTCTCTTTTATAGCCATAGGTTTCACCCTTTGGATGAGGGTCTTGGTCCTGATTGGCTTATGGTGTGGGTTTCAAGTGCACTAATGTATGAAGTGGGTATTTTCAGTTTCATAGAGAGCGTTGAATAATCCCTTCCTTGAAACGTTGGCCCTGTATCATTGAACAAATTATCTGTTTGAAAATTGATTTTCAGAAATTGCGGCAATAGTGCACAAGCCTCAGTAACACAATTTGATTTTTTATGTGGGAAAGATGCTTATGTATCACGTCACGTGACCGCTGGATATAAAAATATAGTATTTGCAAGAATTAGTAGTAAAAAATGCGGTAATTGCAATAACCAGTAGATATTCTTCATGTATTTCTGTAATCTCTAATTGATCCTTTCTACATACATGATTTAAAAAGTTGTCTTAATAAAATTCGATGTCAGAGTACGAGTCAGCGCAAACACGCCATTGTTATCATGAAATATGAAACTTAAACCAACTGTGGAGATGCCAATTCGATAGAAAGTATACGCTTGTATACACAATCATACTTATGTGAACAAAAACATTCGATAAGGTAGTGAAACGAAGAAACCCAAAATGTGTGAAAAATTAAACTTCCAAATAATCAATCCCATACTCCCCTACAAATTAGTTATAATTACTCTGTGCCAGTCCTCATCTTTATAGAAGATAACAAACAGTCTGAAGTTCAGTTACGAAAAAAATATAAACTTGTACCACATAAACTAAAAAAACAAAAATGACGAAACAGAAGATCGAAAGGAGAAAACTGACAATCCCACTTGTTCCATTTATTATATGTTAGTTATCTATATGGTATTTCCTTCTACCCAACCATATTCCGCATTAATTTTTCTATAAAAGTTATTAACTTATTATATTAAATATCGTACATGGCGAAGTCAGATATTCAAGTTTGAATCAATGCGAAGTTAGATATTCAAGTTTGAATAAATGCGAAGTCAGATATTCAAGTTTAAATCAATGCGAAGTCAGATATTCGAGTTTGAATCAATGCGAAGTCAGATATTCAAGTTTGAATCAATACGAAGTTAGATATTCATGTTTGAATCAATGCGAAGTCAGATATTCAAGTTTGAATAAATGCGAAGTCAGATATTCAAGTTTGAATCAATGCGAAGTCAGATATTCATGTTTGAATAAATGCGAAGTCAGATATTCAAGTTTAAATCGATGCGAAGTCAGATATTCATGTTTGAATCAATGCGAAGTTAGATATTTAGGTTTGAATCAATGCGAAGTTAGATATTTAGGTTTGAATCAATGCGAAGGCAGATATTCAGAACCTTACAAGTTCATTTTGGACTTTAGGAAATTCAGGGTGTTATTTTTATAATTTAGTGACATATTTATCAAAGCTTTGCTCTGGGTAGAAGAAAAAAGCTGTCAGAAAACTAATATTGGTAGTCATTCCAATACTATACTGCCAGGTTTACATAACATTTTATTGACTAAACTTACCCTTTGATGCTTCGAAGAGACAGGTGTTTCGTGCTCGAAGGATGATACCGAATCCTTATTACCTGCAAATTAAAACTATTTAAATTATGTTTTAATTAATTTCGCGCAAAGCTACTCGAGTGCTATCTGTACTAACCGTCCTTAATATTAAAGTGATATACTAGAGGGAAGGAAGCTAGACAACAACACCCACCGCCAACTCTTGGGCTACTCTTTTCCAACGAATAGTGGGATTAACCGTCACTTTATAATGCTCCCGGAGTTTTATGAAACCAGTTTGTGTAAGTTATATCAACAGTCTTGCAGTTTTATAAAAACCAGTTTGTGTAAGTTATATCAGTAGTCTAGCAGTTTTATGAAACCAGTTTGTGTATGTTTGTTTGTTTTTTGAATTTCGC